TCCAGAGACAAACTATGAAGTTTAACTTGAGGAATGCCTTTAAAACAAAGTGACTTGCATATTGGAAGTATACCATAATTTGACATGCCTTTATGTATTCTCCCAAGAGCCCCATTAAATAGTAATTCAATCCCTAGCATAAAGAGACAAAGATGATTTCTGAATGTTTCCCTATTTTTCCAGGCCTTTACTTCAGAGGTCAGAGTTAAAGTTTATGGCTACTAGTGCCTTGGCCACTTCCAGTTCCCAGGCGGCAGCATCTGAGCCTGATGGTGATGTGCCCAGAGTGACACAAGTACTATTATATGGCTTCACAACTGGCTTTTACTAGAGCAAACAGTAGCTAACACAAGCAGAAATTGCTGGTCAGAAATTGTAAAGAGTATCATATTCCAATACATTCTGAGGGGTAAACACAGAGGCAGCAAATTGCACAGAGAAGGACCTTCATCAGGAAAAACCACCTGGGTTTTAAAATATACCCAGATGACAGATGTTTGGAAGTCCTCACTTTAAAATTTTCTTTCTTGGCTTTCAAATTTTGGTCTTTGCTTTGGAGCTCTCAGGAATAATTTTTCTTATTTTTTCTTTTCTTTTTCTCCAGGTAACATGATTGAGATTTGAAACTACTTTATGTATTTCTTCACTTCCAATATGTATGTTCCATCCTTAACTTCACCCTTCCAATTTCAAAGAATTGCATTTCCTTTTCTGGGTGATTTACCCTCATTCTTCCTTTCACTGACCCTCAGGCAGTTATCAGTAGTAGCTGGAACATAGTACATTTAAAATTAACTTCTTTTCATTTTTCTCATCAGATCCACAAAATGGCTTGATGTAGTTTAGATTTTTAAGTGCCCGAGGGAATCCCAGAAAATAATTTACTCTTCTCGTTCTATTTTCTCGAAACAGGAAAACAAATGTCAAAAAATTCTGAAATAGGCTGTGGTTGTGATGTGTTAGTGGTAATCTGTTTGGTCCCTGGTTAATAGGACTCTGGGGAAAGTGAAATTGAATTAAAAAATGGCACATCAATTAAATCCATGTTCTGGTCCTACTGAACCAAGGTGCACTTAGAGGGACAGCACAGTCACTTTCCAAGGCACCAGGTCCCAGAGGTTAAGGGTTTGCTTCAAATTTGCTCAATTCTTTAATGACGCGTTGTGTAGAGGTCTCATTCATAGATCTATATATTCAACAGGGTTAAAAAGGTCATTGTTATTTGCCTACCAACTGATTAGCATTTTGATAAGGGTCTGATCAGACTTAGGAAAGACATAAATCCAGAAGGGATAACTAATATTTTTGATGAAAGCTCATAAAAGTATCAGATCAGAATAGAATTGTAAATCAAAACAAAAGGAAATTTAATAGGGTGCATGTAAAGATGAACACTTCCATTAAAAAATAAATTGCCCAAGTATAGGATGGGCAAAGGGGAGACCCATGTTTATAGCAGTTAATGTGAAGAAGTGTGCTGAGCACTTGAGGAGTCTTTATTGTTAAGTGTGATAAGATATAACAGTCTCATTTTACCCCGCCCTGACAATATCTGAAAATTTGTGACCGATTGTTGGAGTCCTGGTGCCAGTTTGACATCTGGAGAGGTGTCAGTTTTAACCGAGCAGATGTGTGGGTTTTGTGGACGTGTTCTGAGTGGGATGAGGGGCCAAAGGAGTTGGGATCGTCCGAGCAGGAGAAGAGAGTTTACAGAGCTGTGATTGGTTCCTTCAGACACCTGAAGTTCTTTCAGATGAAAAGGAATCAACTCTCCCTTGATTCATAAAGCAGAATGTAGAATACATGGGCAGAAGATACAGGGAAGTAGATTTTAACTGAAATCTAAGAAAAGTTTATAACAATTGCAATTGATCAGCTGTGAAATATGCTACTTCACAGCCTAGTGAACTTTCTGTCACTCAGCATGAAGGGCTAGGCTAGACAGCTAACTTGAGATTCTGAGATGCCAGCAAAAGGGACTCAGGATTGAGTGGGAAATTGGGAACACCTTGAAGATTCTTTCCAAGACTGTGTTTCTTTCTTTCTTTCTTTCTTTTTTTTTTAAATGCAATTTAAAGAGTTGTCTTTTTATGAAATTCAATTTTCTGTCTGGGAGGTTATTTCATGCCTACTCATGGTTTCAGATTTGACCAGAATTTATTTCATTACTCTTAACTTAAATAAAACACATACACATTTCCAATGCACACCTCTTTGGCTTGCTGTGAATCGTACTGGGTGTATACATCAGGAAATGTAAAAACAAAATCTTCAAATATACTGGGTTAGGAAACCATTCTTTCTAATAATCCTCTAGAGGCTCTGGACATACGTAGTTGCCAGCTTTGTCCTCCCTCATCCTAAACACCATACGTGCTTCCACCTCCTTCTTCACTGCCAATACAACAAGGTATATCAGCGCTTGGAGTTGCACATTTTCGGTTTCTCATACTGCAGAAAGTCTCAGTATGGTTTTCTCCATCTAAATCTCCAGAATTATACTAAAAAAATTTATGTATTGATGATGTCTATATTTCTGCAGGTTTTGGAACAGTCTAATTTTGAAATAGGAGTTGGGATTGATAGCAGCTTTCTTTATTACATTTTCTTTTGAGGCAACTCAGAGATGCACAGAACTCAGTTGGACTATCACCTTAGGGAAATATATAGCGATACAATATATGGTAGGCAATCAGGCTGAGTAAATGGTCACCTCTAGGAAAATTGTAGTGTCTATTTTCTGACTGTGGCCTAGCTGAACATTCTTAATCCAGAACCTAGGATCTAGGCTAGTTCATATAAAAGGTGGAATAAAGATCTTCTCAACAAAGACCATTTGTAGTTCTGGTTGAATTTAGTGCCTCCTAAGAGGGGAGTAGTAATTGAGAGAGGACTATGCCTGAAGGAATGGGAGTGACAAACAGAGTGGTTACCTGGCTTTCTGGGGTGTCAGAAGTCATCAGAGCAAGACACCATTGTTCAAACAGACAGTCCGGAATTATCATTCTGTGTTGGTTCTTGGCAGACTGCTTGTGTTGGGGAGGTTTCCCTGAGGGTGTAGATTCCTGGGCCAGAAAATGGTGACATCTGCCTGTTTTAGTAGCCTGGTTTTGCTCACTGGCAAAAATTCATTACAAGTTGTAATTATTGAAGACATCAATATGGTTACATGGAATTAAAAAGAGAAGTGTTTAAGCTTCTATTTAATAGGAAAGTGTGAAATGCAATCAGAATTTTTAATGCCCTTAAATTTTATATATAGATTTTATTTTTGCCCTTATTCTTATAGAGATAATTTTGTTGTCATACTGGCAGTAAGTATTTGTAGAAAAGGAATATGTTATCTCACTGTCCTCACTTTTCCCTTTCCCTCAGTTCTCTGTATACATATGCACACACACACCTGACTTCAACAACCAATACTGTCTTAGAACACTATTTACTGTTTCTAGCATTCCATTATCTTCTGGGATGCTATCTTTACCATTCTACCAAGAGAAAGATGTAATTATTAATTAGATTTTATGGGAAATGAAAAAAGTGTAGCCTAGCACTGCTCAATGGAATGTTTTGCAATATGACAGTGCTCTTTCCTGTTCTGTCCAGTATGGCTGCCGCTGGCCACCTGCAACTGTTATTCACTTGTAATATAGCTAGTGACCAAGGAACTGAATTTTTAATTTTCATTCAATTTTAATTAACTTAAAATAATAAATAGGTATATGTGACTAGTGGCTATCATAATGGACAGCACAGCAATTATCAAAGAATCCATAGCATTAAAAAAGGTATGTAAATACACTATTTAATGGGATTCACCATTCTAAATGTCTCTTTTCTATATTGAGCCAAAGCTTTCTTAAAATTAATGCAACTTCAGTTTTGATAGGTGTTAAGAAGATCATCAAAAAAGATTAGAGAAAAATCAACATCCACCTAAACCACTTACAATTAATAATAAAGATAATTCTCTATGCTATGCCAGATGATTTACATACCTGCTTCACAGATATGTCAGCTATCATTTTCACAAATGTTCCAAATGAGATGATTTTTTTCCATTTGTGTAAGTGGAAACTGAGGTCCACCAAACTAACCCTAGGTTCCACAGCCAGTAAGTGGTGGAACCAAGGTTTGAGCCCAGCTAGGGTTCTTTATTGCTGCATCTGGTAATAACTATTTCCCACATTGTCTTTCAGAGCACATGTACATAGTTCCCTACTCATCAATGGGAAGTAGGGTAGAGGTTAAAAATATGAGCCCTAGCACCACTCTGCCTGGTTGGAAGTCTGTCTTCTGCTACTTATCACCTATGTGAACTTGAGCAACTTAATATCTCTGGGCCTCAATTTTCTCATTTTAATATGGAAATCATAAAAGTAAACTACCTCATAGGGTTGTTGAGGGTTAAATAAGTTGATCGTTCCTGGCACAGAGTTTGAACCATAAGTATCTGCTATCATCATTATTTTTAATCTGAAAGAGACTGTCATTTATTTTAAGATGTTGATTTAATGTAATATTAATAGATGAAACAGAGATATGCTTTGGGTGCATAGAGATATGCACTTCCCTAGAATTTAAAAGGGACTCTAATTATCCAGACAATTCAGTAAGAAACCCCCTGCTGTTCAGCCACTTTGGTGTGTCCATCACTGGGATGGAAACATTTCAGAGCCCACATGCCTTGGCTAGATCCTCATGTCCTTTGTTTTCATGTTACCCTTATAGATGTCTCCTTTGGTGTCTTTGATTGGTTCTGAATGCTGAGCAGTGACAAACACCAGCACAGCTGGAAAGAGCTGTAAGATGTGCTGTTCTGTCTTCTGGCAGGGAATTATTGCCATGGATACCAGCATGAGAGGAAGACGGCGGGGGGGGACTCTCAACTTGTCTCCCGAGTGGTCCGACATCTGTTCCTGGCAAGGCCAATGAGAGTGTGCTGCTAGCTTCATATCAAATGTGAGACTGAGCCACATCTTCTTTGTTTTTTACCACAGATGGCCTCTGCCCAAGAGGCCAGGTATGGCCAGAAAGACTCCTCTGATCAGAACTTTGACTACATGTTCAAGTTGCTTATCATTGGCAACAGCAGTGTGGGGAAAACATCTTTTCTGTTTCGGTATGCAGATGACTCCTTCACATCTGCGTTCGTCAGCACAGTCGGCATTGATTTCAAAGTAAAAACCGTATTCAAAAATGAAAAGAGAATCAAGCTTCAGATTTGGGTAAGTGACTTTGAACTGACAGTGTTCTTCAGTGTCAGACATTGAACATTATAAGTGTGTAAAGGACAAGCTCTTACTGTGTCTCCATGGAGCCCACAAGCCTCCATTCCCAGGTTCTTTGCTATGGAACATCCTGTTTCAAAGACATTAGAGTGATGCCTCTCTGAGGTATGGAGCCTGAGTAATGCCTTGCTGTCATCTGATGCTCCTTAGCTTCTCTGGAAGAATGACAGCCCAGGTACCTATTGTGTTTGATTGTTGTGTTGTGTTGGACTAACACACAATGAGAAGCTGGATTCTGCCTCTGTGTGACCTTTAGCAAGTCTAAGAATCCCTCTGTGCCACTTTTAGAATCTATAAAGTAGGCAAAGTAGATCTAGCCTTTTAGGTCACAGAAAGCAGCCTGCCCTGGGCATTTTAAGGAAGAAGGTAAATAACCAAATATAGAGAAAGCTTAGGTTTAGTCCCTCATAAAGCCCCAGATAGAACTTTGAACCTGGTCTGTGTATACTTCACAGACCTTGTGTTCTCAGTTCTAAGAATTATGCTTGGCCACACAGTCAAACAAAACAAAATGCATGAAATAAAGTATTTTAAACAGGGATTTCCCTTAAGCAGAAGGTTTACCACTAAGTTTCAGCTAGCTTTTTGCCTCTTCGTACCCCCTGCAGAAGATCAAAGCTTCCTTAACTAAATTGTTGGGATAAACTCAGGAGAACAGCAAGTAAGAAACAGAAGAAAAATGTATATGGGTAACAGGTTCAGGGTAATATAAAAGATGAAGCAACCCAAATTAGTTACACCAGAAGAGAATTATGTAGCAAGCATTTCATGTATATCATGTTAACACATGGGTGCCATGATGGGACATTCCTACAGTCAGTTTTGGCTCCTTTTTCCTGTTCACTTGTACCTCTACCACTCAAACTCATTTAAGCTATTAACAGGTATTTACCAAGAGGTGTTTTCTACCTTTTTCTGAGACAATTCTGATATCTGCTATCACTTGGTGCTGATTGATACTAGGGTTAATCTGTAGGACTGATAATAAGCTCCCTTCCTCAACTATGGAAAGTGGAAAGAAAGACAAATCTGAGAGTGCATGCAGCATTTAAACTTCTTTTATTTAAAAATAAAAGTGCCCTTTATTGAAGTATCTATAGAAACTTTCCAGTATACTTACATTGTAGTATAAAGCAAGGATCCCTAGACTAGATTCTGTGAGGGTGAAAAAAATGTTTTTTGAAAGAGTTTGACCATCTCAATGAATTGAGGCATGCAGGGTAAGATATAAGGAGTAATAGGTGGCATGCCTAAGTACAAACATTCCTACAAAAAGTCTAGGGATCCTTGCTTTATACTACAATGTAAGTATACTGGAAAGTATTTATTCATGTACAGTTCTGACTATTTAGCTACGTCAACAAATCATTTATTTGGGAATGTATTTGGCACACTGCTGGTTTGTCATCTCTGTATTTTAATAACGAAACAACCATATGCTGTTTTTTCCAGCTTATAGTACTTTCATGCAGTTGTAGAAATGTATAACTAATTCATTAAAGTGTTCACAATCCTCTTAGCCTATACTATGATCTGTTTTACTTACCACACTTCTGACAGCAAATGTGTGAGTTTTCCAATTCTTCAATTCTCTGTGGACACCAACTGGGTGTCTTACAGTTTAATTCACTTACCTGAGGTTAGCACAGAACTCATATGTAAAGGACTTACAAGATTGTACTCCCAGCTCCCAGATCACTTCAGACACCAATTGCAAGTCTGGGCCAGTTGTACTTCTGACCTACAGGCTATAATTTGGAAGTTACCCTAATCCCACCCCTCAGGGTCAATAATTTGCAAGAATGGCTCATAGAATTTAGGAAAACAGTTTATTTACTATTACTATTATAAAGCACTACAACTCAAGAACAACTAAGGAGAGGAGAAGCATAGGGCAAAGTTTTGGGGTTGGGGAGGGTAGGTGCAGCTTCCATGCCTTCTGTGGACATGTTACCAACACTGTACTTTGATGTATTCACCAGCCCAGAAGCTCTCCAAACCTCATCCTTTAGGATCTTTATGGTGCTTCCATTATATAGGCATGATTGATAAAATCATTGGCTTTTGGTGGTTACTTCAATCTCCAGCCCTTCTCCCTTCCTGAGTTCAGGAGGTGGGGCTGAAAGTTCCAATACTTTGTTCACATGGTTTGTTTTTCCGACAACCAGCCCCCATTCTGAAGCTATCTAGAGACCCCCCAAGGATCACCTCATCAGTGTAAACTCTGGTGTGGTTGAAAGGGGCTTATCATGAATAGCAAAAGATGCTCCTTTCACTCCATCACTCAGGAAATTCCAAGCATTTTAGAAGCTCTGTGCCAATAACCAGGAGGAAGACCAAATATATAATTCTTATCTGTCGCAACATCACAGCCTGTTATATACTTCAAAGAGAGAAGCAAATGGTTTCACAGTAATGAGAACCAGCAAGGATTAGTCTAATTCCCAAGACAGGCCGCAGATATTGATATGATTCTGATCGCTCTGTTAGTTTTAAACTGCCCATGAATAGAACTTTTCCAGGCTAGGGAACCAAGATATAGATAGGTTAAGTATTTATCCTTACCTTATATTTAGTGCCACAGCAGAATATAAAACTGAGATCTCCTATTGGCTGAGCCAATCTGATTACTACCACACCATGTTCATTCTCAAGGTAAGCAGTGTGTTAGGACAACTGTGGTAAACCTTCTACTTAATTGCCAGTGGAATCTATCAGGCATAGGAACATAAAACTTGAAGCCAGATTCCAGGTAGTATTTCTGATATGCCCGGAGGGAGGAACCTGAGTGGAAAGACTCCCCTGTTTTTTACCTGATGGGCTGCTTTTTGCATGCGCTGCGTAAGGGTTTTTCTGAATCCACAAACTGGGTTACTGGATTTTTAACTGTCTACATTCAAATGATGCATTTTAACAGCTACTAGAAATATTGACATTTCTTCCTGAACATGTTACACCTCCTCTCTGAGAAGTTCATCACTAATTTGGAATACACTTGTTTAGAGAAACTTCATTTGTACTTATTTACAAACTTTATATTCTATTAGTATATTTATGAATCCCTCTAATCCTTCCCTATATTAACATTTTTTATTGCATTTTCATTTTATCATTTCTGTGATTCTCAAATCAAAATTTTTCAAAATTTTACAGATTCCAAGTATTTGATCTGGTTCTTCTATTTTTTTGTGTGTATGTTTAATGCTGTTATGAATATATTGGAGAGAAATTAGGTTGGTTTTTCCCTTTAATTGTAGAAACATATTTCACAGCTGGGGTCTATAGTATTTTGCTTCTAATTAAAAAAAATAGTTTAGCTTGGAGAGAGGCTAGATAGAGTGGATTTCTTCCCAGTGAGAAGATTGAAAAAGAAAAATAGCATCCATTACTAAGAAGAATATCACCTGTATTTATTTTCAGTATCTGGATTACTACCATAGGAGCTTTGGAGCTTACAGCAATCTATAAAGTAAGGCGTGATGGCAATTTTACTTCAATTAGACTTAAATTTTATTGAAATTTTACTTAAATAGCCAGACTTGAGAGTGTGGTTCTTCCTTTGCTTAAAGAAAGCACAGGGGTCTCCTTTATCATTTGGATCTGCATTGTTCAAGTCCAAAAATCAGGGTTGACTCTAACTAATGGAAGACTTAACTTGAAATATCCATAGCTTAATTAGAGAATACAAGTTTAAAATGGGCAGTGGGCAGGTAGGCAGAGGGCATAGGAGATTACTGTTTCCTTAAGAATTAGAACAAGCATTTTATTATTTTTGCAATCTTTTTCTCATTCTTGCCCTTCACCACTCCTTATCTTTCTTTCCCTCCACCCCCTTTCCCCCTCACCCTCCTTTTCTCATTTCTGAGTTCTGGCCAGGCTGTTAATAGGAAACCTATTCTCAGCATGTTCTGAGGCTGGGGATGCCACACACAGATGCACGTGTTGTGCTCTAGACAAGGGCACCAGCCAAAGAGTCACAAGGGGCTGGCCACTTTCCTGCTAGAGCACCATTTGCTGAGCTTTGTGCTCTCCCTAAGAGCTGTGCTCATCTCCAGGAGGCATACCTTTTCCTTAGCACAGAGGTGCCGTCTGTCCCTCAGGCAGGTGCTGCTGGCCCATAGGCAACCAAAGAGGATTCTGATTCCTATCCAGCAACCATATATGCAGGCAGTACCATGTCAGAATCTAATGCAAGAGCTGGACTAATAATCCAGAGAAAGATGTAGGCCCTGCTTCCCTACCAGAGGCCTGGCGGAAGAGGGTATTTTAAAATACAGCTTTTATTATTAATTAGGTATGGCAAGACCAACAGATCAGGAGACAACTGCCATTAAAAAGACAATTTGATATACTCATGGATCCCAAAAAGGAGGCACATCAGCATGGAGCGGGGACATGGGAATGAGGGGAACCATCAGGGTGGGTCAAGAGGCAGAAGGAGAGGGGTAGGAAACTGTGACAATAGCCTCTATTGTGGTTGCTGTGGAAGGAATGTGGTAAGAAAGCTTAGGATTGGCTAGTTTGAATAACTTCAGCAGACCCTGGGGTGTAGAGGCTGTTCCTGGTTGTCTGGTAATAAGGGCAGGTGGATAGTGGTCTAGAATATGAAAGCTCAATAAAGGGAGGTGGTTGGGAGTGTGAGCTCAGGATTGGTGTGTTTGCATTTGAATAGTGAGCTCCAGTGAGTGGTTTACTGTCTCTAGGAATTGGCTCATTTTCAGAGGGGCAGGCTCTCCAGGGTCTGCAAGGCCCCAGATGTCAAAGCATCAGAATACAGAAAATGAAAGGCATGCTTAATACAGAAGGCAGGTTCTTAGAACCCTAGGGCTGGCTTCTGTCCTTGATTCCACTCTGACAAATGCTTGTGATTTCAGCATTCTCACTACACGCCCAGGGCATTTGTGGGTCTCAGTATTTGGAGACTTAGAGCATTGGGT